TCAAACCCAAATCAAGAACTGAAACCAGTTAACTCTCAAGAGGCAAGAGAATGACCAGAAACTATGAGTGGTCAGTCCAGGGCTCTGATGCTGGACATGAACTAGGGCAGGGTGGGGCTGACTCTGAAAATGAATGGCACTGGGGAGAGGGTAACAGGAACTGTTGCCAAAAGAAAAAGGGCAAGAGGAGGGCATGATTTGCAAACACAGCATACAAATGAATTCTAATATTAGAGTCCCAACAGTCACTGAAACCCAGCACCACTTCATCTTTATCTTGTATTTATGAATCTGTAAAAAAGATCTGTAGCAGCTTTGATTCTTAGTGCCTCCATCTTTTCAATGAGGTAGAGGTGCCCTTCAGGTAAGAATTAAAGTATCCTTTAGAGAAACACAGGTCACTACCTGCCCCACCATCAACACCCTTACCTAGAACTGGCAGACAGTACAAAACAGTACCTCATGGGGTTTCAGGCCTTTAATTTTTCCTGCTTGATCTTTTTTTAACATCGAATTGGCAGAAAAATAGCCAGAGCTGGTGGGTATGGGGGTTCTATTGAAAAATCCCCCAAATTCACGTTGAGGTTTCAGGTCATGGTTGTCAGGTGGGAGATGAGGTTAGGGTTCATAGAGATTTCCCAACCCAACCCTAGAACTTCTTCCAAATGGCTGAGGAAGAGGTCAGAATAGGAGCCCCATTACTGCAGATGAAGGGGGTAGTCACTATCTCCCCCACTCCTCAAGTTCAGAGATATGGAGATAGAAGGCTATGATCTCTAAGTGCCTACAATCTTCTCTTAAAAATATAAAACACGTGCAGTTGGCTTTGGTACAAAAAAAAAGAAAAACAACAAACATTCTGGTCCCTGTGGGTTTTTCCCTCACCCCCAACAAACCATTATGGCCACCCCAACCTCTATTCCATCAACTCTAGGAAGTCAGGTTATCTCCCTGAGGTTTCCATGGAAGATGGAGAGAAGGGAGAACAGCAGTAGGGGGCAAGGGGAGTGGGGAGAGGGACATGGTCCTGCCCACAGCCCTCCTCTAAGGGACAGTAGGTTGGTCCTGTGGTTGCAGCCTCTTTAAAGATGCATGTTGCTGGGGAGGGTGTCAGGCTAGAACCCAGCAGGCTGCATGGCTAAACCTAAACACACCCCAGTAGTGTTAAAGGACAAGGCCTCTGATCCCTATGGCTTGGTTCCCATGTCTCTGGTCCTTTAAATCTCTCTCTCCCCCATAACTAATAAACAATAAATAAATAAATTTTTCTAAAATAGAGGGAAGAAGGCATGAAAAATTGGCATCTGTGGTGTAGCTTTTGGATGCCACCAATGGGGTATTGTGGCCTAGATCCCCCAGCTTCCTAAATGGCCCCAGGTATCCAAGGATCCCAAGAGCTGGCAAGGACAATCAGCAGTTCTTTCAAATGTTCCCATCATTGGTAGATTAGAGTCCCCAAGGTTTGCCCCCTTAGTAATGTTCTTCAGTGGGGCTCTTGGTGGAGGGGGAGGGGCCTCCTTAGCTCTCTGAAGCGACAGACTCCCCATCTCGGCTCTCTGTCTCCTCCGGGATGTCCTGCATTCGGGTGAAGTCTGAAGAGGGACAAGGTAAAGCCAGTGAGTGAGCAGTTCTCCCAAGAGGAACTACTGCCTCCTCAACTGTGAAGGGAGGAACTCTCTGGTGAAAGAAAATGGGTCAACAAGTCAGCAGCGAGGCCCACCTAGGTCCTTGGTATACAGATACAATTTGATTTATAAAATACAAGTATTTTTTACCATTCTAATATGAAATAAAATCTGGGCTGCAGTGCCTCACGTCTGTAATCTTAGCTACTTGAGAGGCTGAGATCAGGAGGAGCTCAGTTGGAGGCCAGCATGGGCAAACAGTTCATGAGACCCCATCTACAACATAGCCAGAGCAAAAATGGACTGGAGGTATGGCTTAAGTGGTACAGCATCTGCTTTCCAAGTGTGAAGCCATCAGTTCAAACCCCAGAATCACCAAAAAAAAACAAAAACAAAAAACATGAAATAAAGTAGCTGTTTGATTATCTTGTATTTTCTGAATTAGGACTTGAAAAATTGATTTCTACTTGAAAAGGCTGAAAGTCACCAACCAATTGGAGAAAGAAAAACCCTTCCCCACGCTCTGTCTTCTAGGGTTCCAGCACCAACTTGTCAGAAAGAATAGGAAGACTTAAGACTTCCTTGTCTCTCCCAAGTGTTACTATGGACATCAGTCAGAGAGCATTTCGAAGCCACAGTCTAAGGTTTATACCCAGGCTTTGGCCCACCTCTACTCCACAACCCTGCCAGGGTCTTACCTCGTGGACTGTGGGGTGGAGACAAACGGCTGCTACCTTCCTCCTCACTGCCTGTGTCAGGGTCACTGCTGTCTTGAAGCCGTTCGTCAGGGCTACCCAGCTCCTGCCTCTCCCGGTCCTCAAAGGGTCGGTGGACAGAGCGAATAGTCACAGGCAGATCCAGGCGGTCATGGCCTCGGCTGGACTATGGACAGCAGGAAGAAAAACAGCAGACCAGGGGATGAGCAGCATGAAGACTACAGGCTCTGCTTAGCTGAGGGCAGCAGACCCACCAGAACCTAACACACTCTCCACTGAAGTAGATTCACCATCAACTTCTTTCTTTCTTTCTTTTTTGTTGGTACTTGGGTTTGAATTCAGGTCTCATGCTTGCTAAGCAGGTGCTCTACCGTTTGAGCCATTCCATCAGCACCACTGATTTCTTTCAGTGTGATCTCCCAGGCTGTTTTCCTTCAACACTCATCCCTGTGCCCTCTACATTTTTTTCTTTTCTTTTTTGAGATGGGGTCTTGCTATGTTGTCTATGCTGGTCTCAAACCAATGGACCCAGATGATCTTCCCACCTCAGCCTCCTGAGTGCTGAGACAGACACCACTACACCATGCATAGACTAAACAATGTGGGACTTATGAGAGAATACAGTGGATTTGTTTGCTTGTTTGCAGTGCTGGCAACTGCACATGCTAGGCAAGCACTCTATCAACAAGCTACACCCCCAGCCCTAAATTTCTTTTTAGTTCTTCAATTTGGGATATTCATATCATTCAAATCTGTTGCCTAGTTTCATTTGGCTCAAATCCCCATTAGCCCCATATCTTTCAGGTTGTATGGACCCTAATGGATGCCAGGTCACTTCACTACCCACACCACCTTACCTGTGGGGGTGTGAAGCTCAAGTATAGGGCATCGCCTGCAGGAAGGCTGCGCCTCCGAGGATCCAGAGGCCTGCGGGCCCAGGGAGCCTCGGCTGGGAGTGGCTCATTCTGGCCCAAGGCGGCCAGCTGCCTTCGAGCCTCTTCAGCCTCCCGCTCCAGCAGAGCCCGTGCCTGCTCGCTCTCCCGGAGCCGGGCTTCCAGGCTGCCGGCCTCAGTTGCCCGCTCTTCGCCCAGTCGCCGGCAGCGCCGCAGCTCCTCTTGCAGCAGTGCATGTTGCCGCTGTAGTAGCGCCAGCTCTGTGGCCTGCTTTTCAGGAGCCACAGGGGCAGCCCCAGCCCTGCTGCCCTCGCCATCTCTAGAATTGGCTCGGGTCAGCTTCTCCCGCCGCTCAGGGCCCTCAGGAAACCGGGCTTCCATCAGAGTGTCCTGTTGGGCCACAGCCGCCTAGGCGTAGGATGGAGAAAGAAAGGTGTATTAGAAAACTCTGTTTCCTTCTAGCCCTTACCCTCAACCCCCAGGACCCACATCATCACTCCGGAGAGTTTGGCTTGCAGGAATACTTAGAAAGGCCTATTAAGGTGACTGCCCACCCACATGGGCACCTCTAACTTGGCTGCTTCCCTTCTTCCCTATTCCGGTCCTTGTCCACTGACCTGCAGGCCATGAAGAAGTCCATAGAGATTGACCAATCGCTGTAACACCTCCTAGGGACAGAGGAGAGGGTGGGAACAGGGCCCAAGCTTCAGAACAGGACAACTGCCCAGAAGTTGAACAAGTGTGGGTATGGGGATAACAGTATCTGGAGAGAGATACTTTGAGGTATAGACTGATACCACACCACTTTAAACTGGGCTATAATGTCACAGGCTGAGAATACCCTCCTTTCCGTCTTATTACCACCAAATTCCCATCTCACCTCCTGGGGGGATCTCAGCTGGTTTCCATTTCGATCCTGCAGAAATGGGCAAGGATGGGGAGTCAGCAGGCACACAAGTCCCCAGTGCCTGCACCTGACAACTCTGTGCTGAGGAGTCACAGGCCAGCTGTGCCCTTCCCACCCTCTAGCCAAGCCCTGCAACCTCAAGGACGAACCTTCTGACTGGAGTCTGAGTCAGCTCTGCAGAGCTCAATGGAGCCATTGAAGGATCTGGTCTCTCCATCTGTTGAGAAAGAGAAAAGGATGGGTGGAACTCACTCTTCCAGGGCCCTGACCCCTCTATGTCCCTGGCACTCTCCCCAATTCTTTTCAACCCCTCCCACCTACTACCTTGGTCCCTGCCCTGGCACTCACTGGCAGTGACCCCAGGACTCGTGTTACCACCACTGTCTGGTTCCAAGGGCAAGGCTGGTTCTCGGGATGTCAAGAGCAGCTCCACTCCAGGCCCCACCAGCAGGTCTTTCAGTCCTTCCACTGAGGGAAAAGAGGAGGTGAGGAGAGAAGTGACAAAGAACCCTGTGGGGCATGCCCATTTACCCAACACACATGGAATATTACAATATTCAGAAGAAGTGCCCTCTCTACAAGGCAGTGAGATTTCATTCAGTCAAGTGTGAGCCAAAGGTCATTAAAGATGCCCAAGGGGCAGCACAAGCCTATGCAGCATGCAAAGTGTCAAACAGTAGCAAGGACAGTGCTTCTTCATTCCCCTGCCATTCTCAGGCACTGGTCAGTAGTTATGGACGAGGGGATGACCTCGCCATCTGTGCATCCAGTCCAGCTGCATGTCCATGTTTAGTGATGGTGAGGGCATGAAGCTAGACTCTTTCCGGGGAGCTCCCTCACCCTCACGGATGGCATCCTGCAAAAGTCGCTCGCCACGAGGGCACTCCAGGGACTCAGAGCGGAAAAGTCCCCTGGGGAGTGTGGGCAAGGGCACTCCACTGCCGCCATCCTCTTCTGCCTGGAAGTGGGTCATTTCAGCAAACAACCCGACCTTCTCCTGCAGCAACTCCACCAGTGCCCGGTCCTTCTGTTGCAGTTCCACTGTGGGTAAGGAGAAGGTGAGCATGTAGAAGAGCCCAGAGAGCAGCCCCAGAGTAGGGGGTGGGACCAGGCAGAGTGGCAGGACTTAATTCTGTTGTTTGGGCATTTATAAAAAAAAAAAAAAAAGAACTTCATTGGGGAAAAAACTGACACATACTCTTTTGTTTTAAAAACAGAAGTAGAAAAGATTTATGATAAAGGTTGTAGGTAATCCACATCACATGGTTGACTAGTTAAAAGACTGTTTCTCAGCCTGACTTGCACTTAAGACACTGCTGGGGTTTAGATGTGAGCATTTTTCAGATCTTCCCTTAAAAGAAATGGACATGAACTCTCCTTATTTCTTTACTCCTCCCTGCTGGCTGGGACACAGATGGGACAGTGGGAGCTGGAGTAGACACTACGCACATAATGAGAAAAGCTTCATATTTAAGATGGTAGGTACATTTTCCCACTTTGGGAAACAGAAAGGCGAAAAATATTCTACATTTTAAAGAAACTGTGTTTTTGTATAGCAGATCATAAATACCCTAACAAATATAAGGCTATACAGTACAAAAGTAAATTACTTGCCCATCCCTAGTCTTCCTAGATCCCCTTCCCAGAGGCAGCCATAGTTATAACAGCTTATCTTTCTAGAGATATTATACCCACACACACAAAATACACATGTACATATTCCACCATTACTTTTACACAAACCATAGCATACACTTTACATTGTTTTAAACCTTGGTTTTTTTCACTTAAGAACACATTTTATATTTTACCTATATTAGGGGCTAGGGGTTTGGCTCAAGGAGTACAGCGCATGCTTAGAAATCATAAGGCCCTGAATTCAAATTCTAGTACCACCAAAAAAAAAAAAAATCAAAAATCTATTATCAGCCTTTCATAGAGCTATCTCATCTTTTTGGTTTTGTTGTTTTGTTTTCTTTTGTATTTTTGATGGTACTGGGTTTTGAATGAACTCAGGGCCTCATGCTTGCCAAGGCAGGTGCTGTACCCCTTAAGACAATCCACCAGCTCAAGCTATCTTATCTTTTTAATAGTTGCATAGTATTTTGCGTGGATGTATCACAAATCACTTCATGAATGGATCGTGGGTGAACTTACTCTTGATCCGCCTCAGGTAAGCCTCATCCTCTGTCTCAATCAGGGGGAAGTCCTCCCTGGATGGGCATCTGGAGGGGTAAAAGGTCAGATAGGGTGGGGGACAGACATGAGGATACAAACCAGGTATAAGCCTTCCCTTCCTCCCATACACGTCCTACACACCTCAGCCTCACACTTTGGCTTCATTCACAGTTGACCTTCTCCCTTTCTTTGCACCAGTTGTTTGCATTTACTAGTATATCTCTCTCCAGAGGATTACACAGATTATAAAAATCCTGGGCTGGGAGTCTATCTCAAGGCCTGAGGCCCTGAGTTTGATCCCCAGCATTGAGCAGGAGACAGGAGGAAGAATCCTAGAGTCCATTCCATTATTTTTTTGGTTTGGTTTGATTTTTTTTTTTTTTTAGTTCATTCTGTAGCCATAGTATTTAAGAATCCCTTTCACCTGCTCTACTTCTTTTCTGGTTGGAATTAGACCCACAGCTGAGTACCACAAATCTAACTGTGTCCTAAAGATCTGCAGCTGTAGCAAAGTGATTGAGGCTTCTTAACCGAGGGTATCCAGACCCTTAGGATATCCACTACTGGTTCCTGTAAACCCTCTGAAGTTGCATAAACACTTTGACATGCTGAATTTCCTTCTTGCCTCTACAGCACTGAGTTTGTGGATGAGACTTACTCATCTTCTCTCTAGTACCAATGCTTTCATTACCCTCTTTTTCACTCATTTTCTTAGAAAATAAAAGTAAAATGCAATACAATCCAAATAATGGCCCTCTGCCTATAGACCAAGATGTTAATGTGCCTGAAAACTGTCCTGCTATTTGGCAGATATGCCACCATGAGACAGCTGTAAGTATTCCTTTGCTGGTCAGCTTATGCTGCATTTGAAGGGTAGCTGGAGTTATCAGCACATAAACTATGACTTTATATGACTTAAGAATACAGGTCTTAGCCCTCTTGGCCCATTTTTTTCTCTTCCAGTCTCTGCCTCTTCCTCTGAAAGTTGGGTTCTATTCCCAGAGGTATTGAGGCCTAGGACCCGACACCATAGGTACTTGAGGCCATATGTACATCCAGGCAGCAGACACACACTCACACGCGCACACTCTGCTGAATGACACGGATCCAGGTGCTCCGGTCATCCCGGGATGCTGTGTGCACTTCATACATCTCAGGAGGGGCTGCGCTGATCAGAAACATCCCTTTCTCCTGATTAGCAATGTCCCTTACAATCAAATTCTGCAGTGATATCACCGAAGGCTTATCCTGTTGGGGGAAAGGAAGAATTAAACCTAGGAATCCTCACCTTTAGGTATCTAGATCTTCTATTCTGGCATGCCCAAAAGGATTGAAGAAGATACCTTTTACAGTACAAGTTAAGAACATAGGCTTTGGTGCCAGCCAGAAAGGACTTGGAAATGACAAATTATTTAACTCTAGTCTTTACTTTTATCATCTACAAAATGATTATGTTAATGGGCTTTCCTTACAGGCATAAAAATTCCTGCACACAAGAATACATGATAGCTATTCTTTTTTGTTATAATTACAACTGTTGTTTGACTCTGCAAGACTCTAGAGATCTTTTGGACTTGAGGAGAGAAGCAAGTAGGGCCTGAAATACTTATTTCTGTTAAGAAAGGACAATAAAAGTCTCACCAGGGCAGGAAAGATATACTTCTGGTCCTTCTCCTGGAGAAATACCAGCACATCCGTCATGAGCAGCATCAGCACATCTGGCCAGGGGAAAAGGTGGACGAATGGTCAGCATTAGAGGGTCTGAGAAGTCATTTCTCTCTCTCCTGAGGACGTGGCCTACTCCATCCTGTAGGGTCTCCGATTCCCCTCTACCTGGCCTCTCTTCCCTCTGGTTGCTTCCTCCACCTTTTTAGACCTCCCACCTCTTCATTCTGACAACAGGGAAATGATAGGGAAGAAAGAGATGCATGATGCAAACAGCCTTTTGGGTAAGCATGGACCAAAGAGGACCAATGTTTTTTTGTAGAAAACTCCTTTCCCAGCTGATTAAGGCTTCTTAATCTAGAGTTTATAGACCTCAGGATATTGTCTGCCGGTTCCAAGGGCTCTATAAAACCTCTGAAGTTACATAAACAGTTTTAAGAGTAATATAAACACACATGTATTTTTGTGGGTGAAAGGGTCTAAGAAGCCGGGCAGCAGTGGCTCATGCCTGTAATTCTAAGCTACTCAGGAGGCAGAGATCAGGAGGATCAAGGTTCAAAGCCAGCCCGGGCAAATAGTTCATGAGACCCTATCTCAAAATACCCTTCACAAAAACAGGGCTGGTGGAGCAGCTCAAGGTGTAGGCACTGAGTTCAAGCCCTAGTACTGCCAAAAAAAAAAAAAAAAAAAAAAAGTCTAAGAGTTTTTTGTTTTGTTTTTGATACAAGGTCTTGCTGTGTTGCCCAGGCTGTTCTGAAACGTGTGAGCTCAAGTGATCCTCCAGCCTCAACCTCCTGAGTATCTGGTACTAGAGGTGTGTGCCACCACACCTAGCTGGGTCCAAGATTTATGAGTCCTTCTGAGCCTGGGAATCCTTATGATTCCCAGAACAAGAGGGGCTGTTTTTATTTCTAGACTTTAAGTTCCATATCTAACGTCTAGTTAATATAAAATCTTATAGGAATCTGACCTAAATTCTTCCTACCATTGTATTTTCCCACTTGTCACTTTTTTTCTTCTGGTGGCACTGGGATTGGGCTAAGAGGCACTCCACCATCACCTCCACTTGTCACTTTATGCTCGGCAGAGGGAGGAAGTTATTTTTGTCCACTGAAGGAGGACTGAAAAGGCCAGCCCTCACCCATCCATCTCTAATAATCCCTGTTTTATTTTCCTTCTCTCCCCACCCTCAGGGCTCTCAGCTCCTCCAGGGTCCTGTACTGTACCACGGTGGTGGTAGTGGAGGGAACATGGGTCAATTCTATAAAACTTAAATGTCACAGTTCAGAAAACACACTCACCCTTTGCCCTTATGGATCTTACCAAACTGTGGGCACACAGAAGGGGAGAGCTTTTGCTAAATGCTCAGAAATAGAGCTCTCCAGCCTTGCTATTTTTAACCCCCCATGCTTCATATTCTTAGCTGCTGCGTGGGAGAGACGGGAAGGAGAGAAAAGGATGGCGGAAAGAGCCTGGTGAAGACTGACAATACCCAGGCCCTGGGAGTGGGGATTTCATGACATAGATACGGAGGCTCAGACAGGCTCTGGCCTCAGGTATCAGTTAATTTTGTCCCCTATTCCTCAACCTAATGCTGAGGCTGCTATTTTCTTGCCCTGATTTAAGTGAAAAAACTTTCCAGTACAGACAAATTCTCAAAATTGAGCCTGGGAAAGTGCCCTGGTCCCCAACACAGCATTCTGCTCCATTCTCTCTTCTACTCTGCTGTCCTTCACTCGGCTCAGTCAGTCCCTCCTCAAGGCCTCCCGGCTTCATTCCCCAAGTCCCAGTTCATGTTATAACCCTGGGGGACTGGGATTTCAATTGGGAGAATCAACTGCCCTGATCTTTATCTGTGGTCTGAGTTTCTGTATCTTCATTAAAATTGACGGCTCTCTGTGTGCATGCAAGGACCACAGAAATGAATACATACTGATAAGCAAGTCCTTGTCTAGCCCATGAGGGTAAAGGCAGAATTCAGACTTTTACTGCAACAAAAAACATCTTTTCTTCCCACTGAGTCTTCTTTTTTTTTTTGGTGGGACTGGGGTTTAAATTTAGGGTTTACAAAACATGCACTCTATTGCTTAAGCCACACCTCCGGTCCATTTTGCTGTGGTTATTTTGAAGATGGGGTCTTATAAGTTATTTGCCAGGGCTGGCCTCAAATTTCAATCCTTCCTTATCTCAGCTTCCCAAGTAAATAGAATTACAGGCATAACCCACTGGCTCCCAGCTCTCTCCCAATGAGTCTTGTTCTCCTGTAGGCCTGCATAAAACAAGGTCCTAAGGACGAATGTGTCTCCCGCTATATCCGATTCCAGACTCTTGCAGGATCTGCCAAGCAGGACAACTAATCTTTTATTTGTTTTTTGTTATTCTTTTATTTTTAGTTTTTTTTTTTCCTTCTTTTTTGCAGTACTGGGTTTTGAAGTAAGGGTCTCAAGCTTGCTAGGCAGACATTCTACCACTTGAACCACACACCCATGTTTTTGAGACATGGTCTTGCTATGCAGCCTGGATCTGCCTCAAACTCTCGGTACTCTTGCCTCAGCCTCCCAAGTGCCCGGTTTAGGTGTGCACCACCATCTCTACAATGACACTGACCTTTGAAGCGACCCGTTGCTGTCTTCCAGAGCAGGCAGCCATCATGGATGAGTCTGCGCCGCAGAAGCTCCTCTCGGCCAAAGGGACCCTTGCCAGGCACAGGGGCCTGGGCCCGCGGGTCCATGCGGTTGTAGATCTCCTGCAAGCGAGCCCCTTTCTCCAGCTCGTGCACATCCTGGTCCACATTGGACAGCAACTCCTTCACCAGCCCCAGTGCTGCTGTCAGGTCCTGGCGCTCTTCCTCAATCCCTGGCACCAGAGGGCCAGCATGGTTGACGGCTCAGCCAGTGTCACTTGAGCCCCAACTCCCATTCTGACTTGATTCCACCTTTACAAACTTCCTAGAGCTCCACACCTGCACCTGCCCTTTCCCTTGGCTGTCCTGAGCCTTTCCTCACCCCAGAAAGCCCTCTCTTCCCTTCTCTGGGCCTCTCCTCACCATGAGAATGCTGCAGGATACGGTTGATAAGCACCGGGTACTTGGTGATGCGTTGAGTCACCAGCAAAATGCACTCCTGCACACCATGCCGCTTCAGGACAGCTGAACGGGTCACTTTCTAAAAGGAAAGAGGTGGGATTCAGGATGGCAGAAAGACTGGGAGTCTAAGCTCTGGTGCTGGTCTTGCTTTGGCCATTTACCTCACACTAGCCTAGGTGACCACATCTGAAAAATAGGGGTAACAGTGCCCCAGGTTTTGTGGTGAGGACCAACCTGACAAAGTCATGAAAGTACATGCGAAACTAGTACAGCAAAATTTCCCACTCTGAAGAGTTACTGGTTGACAGGATCTAGGAGTGGGCAGATCCACAGGGGTAAGCAAGTGCCTGCCCTCTAGCTGGGCAGTTTACACATGACGTGTGATCCTATGAATGACAGTAGCTGAGTTTGGGCCCAGGCTGTGAGCCTGGGTCCTGCAGAGGCTGGCTCACCCGGATGAACTGCTGGAAGCGTTTGTCTCGGGCATACAGTTCCTTATAGAGTTTTAAGGCCTTGGTGTGGCGGCTGCAGAACTCCGAGTAGGTCTTACGCATCTGCTCTGCACTGGGACCTGAGAACTAGAAGTCAAGAGAGCAAGGCTAAGTCAGCATTTCTCCCATAGTTGTATCTTATCTCCTGGGCACACCTCTGTCCTGCCAAACAGACTGGCTTCCTGTCTCTCCACCTCTCCCCTGCTTTTCTCCAGCCCCTTGAATTTGGCTCCACAAACATTACCCAGAGGTCCTGCCTTTTCCTACCTGGCTGATGAGCAGGTCACCCAAGCGATGGATGACAAAGTTCCGGGTGCTGCCAGGGCACAGGGCCTGGCGTCGGCGCTCTAACAGTTGGCTGAGGAAGCGTGTATGGATGTCACTGAGCTCATCCACACAGGGGAATAGGCCCTGGACCACTCCTGGCTCCAACTGCAGCTCTTCCAGCATCCCAGTGCGGAAGAGGCGAGTCATGATCTTCAGGGTCCTCACATGGTGCAGCTCTGTCTGGATTAGCTCTGTGGGAACAGTGGGTCATTTGGCCTACTCTAGCTTGGCCACAATTCGTGGGGCCCTAGGCAAGTCCCTTCCAGGTCAACATCCACATTAGTGTGATCTTGAATGATTTTCTAATCATTTTTTTATCCTTGTATTTGTCATTCCAAGCTGCAAATTATTTTAAGGCAAGAACCATGTATCTTCTATACATCTAGGCCTGCCATAATCCCCAGTATGGTGTTGGGCATGGAAGGGGCAGAATGAAAACTGAGGACTGAATTAAAGAAGAGATAAAAAGTCAGATGTCAGTGGCTCACACCTGTAATCCCAACTATTCAGGAAGCAGAGATCAGAAGGGTCATGATTCAAAGTCAGCCACTACAAATAGTTCAAGAGACCGTGTCTCAAAAATAACCAACACAAAAAAGGGCTGGCGGAGAGGCTCAAGTGGTAGAGTGCCTGCTAGCAAGTTTGAGACCCTGAGTTCAAACCCCAGGAACACCAAAAAATAAAATAAAATAGAGATAAAGATAGGACTTTGGGAGCTGGGCATGGTAGTGCTCACCTGTAATTCTAGCACTCAGGAGGTTAAGGCAGGAAGATTGTTAAGTTCAAGGCCAACCTGGGCTATATATATAGCAAAACCCTTTCTAAAAAAACAAAACAAAAGAAAGAAAGAAAGAAAAAAAACAAAAGATGGGGTCTAGGAGACCAACAGCACCAAGAGGTGGAGGCTCAGAGGTCAGTCTAGACCTCTGCCAGCAGGGTCATGGAGACTAATGGGTGAGGAGGGCAAGGGTCTCAAGAGGTAGGAGCTAACAAAAAGGAAGTTATAGACAAACAGGACTTGGTAAAGGAAGAGGAAGTTGTGGAGTTGGCTCACCATAGATAACATCCTGCTGCTTCATCACCTCCTTTTTATGCTGCTGTAGGAAGCTGCTATCCACAGCAAGACTCCAGGAATCAGCTGCAAAATCTTTCTCATCCATCTCAAAGTCACTCATTAGCTCATTGTAGATTACCTCTGCACCTGGGCATCAGTGGCGTGGCAACTCAGCCAAATTCTCCGATTTCTGGGCCCTTCTCTAGATCCCTTCCCCCATGACCTTCTTAAGCTGCTCCCCCAGCCATTCATCCTGAGCCCCTCCCCATCTTGCCCAGTTCTCCTCACACCAGGCATGCTTACCTTCATCAATAAGGGATTCCACTGACAGGGTTCTGTTCCGCATGTTGAGGGAGTCTGTGGACTGGGAGAGGATCCGCCGCAGCCCCAGGGGAGACTCATCATTGAAATGTCTGAAGGAAGTGGAGGCTGTCTGCATCACCCCCACTCAGGCAGGAGATCCCTTCCCAGGTGGGGAACCAAGGCTGGGAACCTGAGGGGCAGTCACCCTAAGTTCTCCTTCCTCGTCTGTCTACGATTCTGAACTCAGGGATAGAAAAGGACCTCTCAGCCCCATTTGGGCTCCACATTATGCTGCCTGGCTTCCCCTTCCCCAAACAGAAGCTCACCCAGCAATGTTGGTGGTGGAAACACTCTTGGCTAAAGACAAAGAGGAGCGGCCACGGCGGGAGCCAAGGAGAGACTGCCGGAAGCTGTCGGAGGGGTAGATAGCAGACGTAGGCCGCTCCCGGGTGGTTGCTGTCAAGGAGAGGGGCCGAGCAGACAAAAATCAAACTCTGTGCCTCCCAGGCTTCTCCACTAGAAAGGCAAACTCTGCCGCTTCATCTGCAACCCCTTCTAGTTGAAGAAAGTTGGTACCACAAATAACGATAATGCCACCTTACATTTGTGCAATCCTTCAATGTTCACAAAGAGCTTTTTCTTGTCTTAGCTTCTCCCCAAAACAAACCTATGAGCAGACTGAAGCTCAGAAAGGTGGAAGGACCTGAATGGGGTGACCCAGCTAATGGTGAATAGGGACTCAAGCTCTGTTGTCCGTCTGAGCAGTATGCCCCTTCTGTTACAACAAAGCTGTCTGAACTGACATTTGACAGCTGCCGCTAACACTCCCCAAATGAAGTACAAATGCATAACATAGGATGCGGCCAGGCTCAAGTGACCAGCCAGCTCAATCCTTCATCCCCATGTGGACTCTCCTAGCCTGACTCAAAGTCCAAGAGTATGAACAATTCCTTCTAGCCACTTCCGGGTCTAGCCACTTCCGGGTCTAGCCACTTCCACTTGAGAGGAAGGTGCTGTGTCTGGGTATGACCTCATGGGGGCAGCAGAGCCCATAGGCAGAGCAGCCTGGGGTCCAGGGTCTTATTGGGGCTCCCCAACTTCCCCTCTACTCACTCTTACTGCGAAGAGAAACAGACTGCAAAGCAGTGTTGTTCTTCAACAGAGCAGCTTTCTGTTGCTGTGAGACAGAGAACAAGAGAAAGATACCAAGAGTAGCTGTTACCCAAGAGTCATCCCCATCCCCAGGACCCAAGATGGGGCAGGAGCTGGGCAACTGCCCCCTCAGGAGAAAACTGGCACTGTGGATAAGGCCACCAGGGTAGCTAAGCCCTGTGATATGTATGGGGCTATATCTACAGCAGTAGGCCTGGTCCACTAGGGCTTGAGGCCTGGGGCTGAGGGTCTGATGAGATGGGTTGAGGAACACAGGGTAGGGAATGAATGAAAAGGCATGAGGGTACCACACTCACTACCCTCTCCCCCAGCCCTTTGCCCTCCCTGCCATCTCACCTTCTGCTTGACCTTGGTACAGTTGGCCAGGGTGTCTTTACAGCGGTTGTGGATAGTCACATTGCAGGCTGGGAGGGTGGGGTAGAGAGGGTAAAGGGAGGGCCGGGTGCTACAGAAAGGGACATACCCACATGCAGACACCCATCTCCCCATGGCCACAGAGTGTTCAGACACTCTTCCCCTGTTCCCAGTCCTTCTCCTCCTGCTTCCCTTCAAGCAGAAAATGAAGTGAGGGGATCTGGATATGGTTTGAAATCGAGCAATTGGAGGGGTGAACAATCCTGAACCAAAGCTAACTTGAGGGTTGGACTAGAGGGAAGACGGGGTTACTGATGCCAGAAATGAGCTGGAGAAGCACAAAGGAGGGTGAGACTGGCAGATGGGAGAGAGGACTCCCACAGACAGAAGATGTCAGGGAGGCAGCTGGGGTAGGGACCAGGACAGGGAGAAAAGAACACTCCCTGAGTACTAAGGAACTACTCTACATTGACTTCACCTCACAGCCTATAGAGGTGGATTCAGTTATCCTCATTTTACAGAGGTTAATCACCAGCAGCATTAGCTGGGATTTAAACCCAGGTGTCAGTGAGTCTAAAAACTATGCTCCTTCCTTCCCTTGCCCCATGTATACACCCACTGCCCCTGGCTGGGTTGCAATTCCAAGGTTCATGGATCTAGTGGGCAATGCCCTGCCCTCACCAACTCCTACCTTCCCTGCCAAACCTGCCAGTCTTCTGTACTGACTCCAGCCAGGCTGCCTTTTCCCTTCCAGGCCCAGGGAGTCCTGTTCCCTATGCAAGGCAAACCCACAGCTCCCACACTCCATCTGCTTCTCCCTCATCCCCCGCCCCACCTTGTCATGAAGTAGGAGAGAAGAGGAGGAGAAAAGAAGGGTAGCCAAGCCTAGGCACAGGTCCACTGATGTCCCCTTCCGAACATATCCTCACCCCTTGGCCCTCTCCAGCTTCCCCCACCCCGCCTGCCCAATAACACCGGAAACTCTGCTAACTCCTTCAGACAATACCCAGCACCATGCTCACTTCCACAAATACAAGGCAAAAAGGGTGGAGCAGAGGGGGCAGAAAGAAGTAGGGACCACAGTTGTACCCACCCCTCTGGAGCTCCCTTCTCCTACCCCCCAACGCCTAGTGTCTCTCTGGATCAAACCTCTGCTTTCCACCTGCTCTCAAAATAGTGCTGCCCACCTCTCTAGTTCCCCTGGCAACAAGCTTCCGGATTGGGTACTTTGTCAGGTCTCTAGAGGGATCTAGATTGGGGTTTCCTCCTCATCCCCCTAACTCTAAATTGAGCAGTGAAGAAGTAGGGAGGAAGGCCTCCCTGGTTCTTTCTGGGGGTTCCTTCCCCAAGTTTCATAAGAGATTTGGAGGCTACAGTGTTCTCAGTCAGTGGCAGATCACCATACTTCTAATCCTGCTCTTGCCATAAATTTGAGGGGAAGCAGGGCAGAGCTGTAGCTCTCTGCATAGGTGTCCTGGGGAAGGAAGGAATTCCTGGCTCATGATCCCTTAATATAGGGCTGCCCTCAGATGTGAGTGAAGATCCTCACATGTGTGAAGATACACATATCCCTGCTGTATTCCTCTCACTGTATAGACACTCTGGAAATGGACAATAGAGGGTCCTAATCCCATGTTGTCCTTGAAAGAGCACAGATTTCAGATTCCACCCACAGTCAACAGAAAGGAAGGGGCCAGAGACCCTGAGGTCATGAATGTCCAGTTCTGCCCAGGAAGATGGGCAGAGCCAGCTGCAAAGCTGGCAGCTTTCCCCCAAGCTTGCCTCTCACCCCTCTCCACACACATATTCCTGCCCCTTCTCCCTCAGTTCCCTTAACCCTCAGCAGCTGTTCAGGGAGCTAGAGGATACCCGTGGGTGACAGCTGCAAAGAGAGCCAACCCAGCTTCTCTTCACCCGTATCTCCAGCTAGATCCGCTTATGCCACATTCCAACGGCCACCACCCCCATGAGGAAGAGGAGGCAAGCATCTGATCCTGGCACTTGGGCCCAGCTCAGGCTCAGAGAGGATCCAGGGCAGAAAGGACAGATGGAAAGATTAGGGTTGATGGGCACTGCATCTGAGTGACACTCAAGGGCCAAGCAACTTACTTGGGCAGATGAGGGCCTCCTTGGCTGTGATGCTCTTGTTACAGGCATAGCACATGGTCATACCCGAAACTGAGATGGTGGTGAAGAGATGCCCATTGGTATAGCGGGCATCCTTGGCTTCTTTCATCTTCTCCTTTTCCCGGGTCTGCGGAAGGGATGAGAGAGACAGGAAGTGAGGCTGGACGGCAGCAGGGTGCCTGGAGTCCAGACACAGAGGCTGAGTGCAGAGGCAGGACAGAAATGCCTGCTTGTGGAGGGTAGAAGGTCGAGCCTGCCACAGGGTGTCAGAGGCAGCTGTCCAGAACCACCCTAAACAGCCAGTCCTGAGGGCTTCTGGGCCTGTGACCTACCTGGCCCCTGCGGCTGGGCTGCCTCCTATTGCCACTCATCTCCCTGGCTCTAGATCTCTGCGTCCTCACTCCACCTCCCAGCCCTAGCTCTGCTCGCCCCCGGGCTCTGTACACTCTTCTCTGTGCTAGGGGGAAGATGCGCAGAGAGGAGGGGAGAGCAGGCGAAGCAGAAGGTGCCAGCTCACCAGCGCTTTCCAATCTATGGGAGTTAGCTCCTCTCATAACCATGACAACCAGTGTTGGAGCCGCTGTCTGGAGGCAGTCACAGTGGGGGGGCAGGGATGGGAGGGCAGAAGATCCCCTTAAGTGACTGGTTGAAGGGGCAGAACACCTCCATAGCCACCTCCAACCTAGAGGTCAGGATCCCCAACCTTTACACGTTTCCACCCACATTCAGCCAAGGCCTACAAGCCCCTCTTCTGGGAGGTAGCAGGTCTCTCACTAACCTCCAGGCAGGGGAAGCCTGGTTATAGTCTCAAGTCAGTCCTCCTCTAGGGGACTAGCCAGCCAGTTTCCAGCAGAAAATCTCCTCTGCAGTTTTTTACTCCTCTTACCCTCTAAAGACAAAATCTACAAGAGCTCCCAATTGTTCCTCACCCAACTGGTCTCCCCATCCTAGGAAGTACTTCTTAGCTATCCCTCATCCTCTGGCCTTGGTCTTAGTGAAGATGGGGCACACCATGTGTCTTTTCTCAGCCTTTCCCCCAGCCTCTGAAAGTCAAGTCATCTTCCCTAACCTCTTTTCTGTCTGTCCTGTCCCCTGAGCTTCCCAAAAAACTCAGAATACGCGAGTAGTTGAGGACACCATTCTTCCCCACCTCTTCTGGGACCTTCTTCAGTTGTCACCAGAGGTCTCTAAATTTCTTCTCCACTCTTGGAGGACAAAGCAGTATTAGAAGCTGACCGCTCCCTTCAAGGTGTCCCTGCCTCTCAGAAATCAAAGGAAAGCATCCAGATTGCTGAGGGTGAAGGTCTGAGCACTAAGTTGAGCACACTGGTTAGGACCCTGGGACTAAGAATTACTACTACCCAGTGGACAGCCCTCAGCATGGGCCTGAGAAGACCAGTCCTGATGGTAGCTCCAGCTACTGCAGTCACAAAGCAGTCAGGGGATGGGGGAGGGGAAGGACACAGGCCTGGTGCAGAAGGGTAGAAAAGGGAAGTGTGGAGGGGCTGAGTTAACACCACAGGGGCCAGAGGTTCACTGGGCCACAGTGCTCTAGGTATCAGGGTGTCATGTGCCCTAGGTCTCAGGGTGTCCTGGTGGCCAAGAGCCTTCTCTCTAGGCCCTCCTTAGCTCTGGAAGGCCTAATGATGTACAGAGCCCAAAGGACAAGAGATCATTTCCTCATCATTTCCCTCCTCAGGCATCCTCCCCTCCCCAACAAGTTCATTTTTCTCTTCTCCTCTCTTTCTCTCTTTCCATCCCCTGCTTTCTCTCCATGTCCTCCCTTCTTAGCTCAGGCTCTCCCTCCTCTGTGCCTCCACCTCTGCCTTCCTTTTCTCGGCCAGCCTTACTTCTGCTTCTTCTCCACTGCCATGTGGCCTCCCTCCCCTCCTCTTTCCTGCAGGCAACTCCTCCTCCCATCCCCTAGGCCTTGTTCAGGAGCAGAACTGACAGCTCCTAGAACTCTAACCTCTGACATTGCAGCCTCCCTTTTTCTCTACTGGTACCTTCCCTACCTGAATCACTAGAAAAGCCTCCTGTTAGTGTAATCTCCATTTATCTTGCACTAAATCATAGCTCTTTAATCAATTTAATGTTTTTAGATCCAATTTGCCTCCTATACACCTTATAGGAACTCAAAGACCAAGTCTAAAATATCTCCTCTTACTGCCCTCCTCCTTCCCTTGCCTCCTGCCCTTCTCTCGATACAAACTGAAAGTATGAGCACTTACAGTATTTAAATTAAAAGAAACAAGCAAACATACATGAGACTGTAGCAATGAAAAGAACATGCCTGGCTAGGACCACTCCAGAAGACAGTGTTGCAGATCTGCCCTAATAATGCCTCCATCTTCCGCCCTCCGCACTCCTCTGCCCACCCAGTTCTAATGGGAGTAGCAAATGGAGAAAGGACTGGGCAGCCAGAAAAGGGGTCTCTAGTGGTCCTTCTCCTCTCTAGCACTGATGCTCATAGACACCCCAGGTATTCTGGGGTGAATACCTGCCTCCTCCATCTCCCAACACTCACCTGCTCTCGAAGTGACCCCCTCTCTAGGTGGGCCAGCAGTGGGCAGCAGCCACAGCAGCAGCACATCCCAGCACGGGCACTGCCCAGTAGCAAGCAGCCCTGGCACCACCTAGTACTATTGTCCTAGAGGCAGCCTGTGCCCGCCCTGGGGCTCAGGCTGCTGAGGCTGGAACAACATAGGGCCTGCTTACCAGAGGTGCCTGCTGTAGAGATGGAATAAGTGGGCACATTTTTTCCCCATATATTTTTAAGAAAATCACATTGGTTTCCATTTATCCACCACCAAGCTGGACAGCCCTTCACCTCCATGCCCTAATCCATCCACCGAGAAAAGACCCATTGCAGCAGGTATACAGCAGTAGCTGTAATCCCAGCTACGTGAGAGGCTGAGGCAGAAGGATGGCAATTTTGAGGCCAACCTGGCAACAGAGCTAGATCCTGTCTCAAAATAAAATTTAAATAAGTACTGGGTATGTAGCTCAGTGGTAGAACCTTTGCCTAGTAGGCACCAGGCCTTAGGTTCAATCCCAATATCACCAAAAAAAAAAAAAAAAGGAAGGAAGGAAGGAAAGAAAAGGCCCATCACCCCACAGTCCCACAGTCCCCAGCACCCACCCCAGTGCTCAGAGACCCTTCCTGTTGGGTCTAGTCTCCTGCTGTCCAGCATTTATGATTGTTCGACCTCTTCCTCACAAACCTCGTAGGAAGTCTTTCCTGTTCACTGCCTTCATCTATACAACACTGCTGCACCATGGATTAAGTGAACCAAGACCATCACACCTGCACCTACAGGAATGTCTCAACAGGCACCCAATACATGTTTAGACAGGAATTTTTTTTTTTTTTTTTTTTTTTGGTGAGACTGAGGTTTGCACTCTCAGGACTTTGCAGGTGCTCTACCACTTGAGCCACACCTCCAGTCCATTTTGCTCTGGCTATTTTGGAGATGGGGGTCTCTTAAAAGTATTTGCCCAGGGTTGGCCTTGAACCTCCATCCTCCGGAGTAGCAAAGATTATAGACATGAGCTACTGATGCCCAGCCTAATACATGATTAAAATTGAAGGGAAGGAAAGAAAAGACAAGACATAGGGTCTTGGCAGTACACCTACTCCAGGGACCCCCTTTATTCCTTATGAGTACCTTGGAGTCTTTGGTCTCCTCTCCTGTCTCTCCTTTTCTCCCTCCTCTTGAAGTACTCCCAGCCCTTCTCTCCTACTTCCTTTAAGTTTAGACCATGATGGTTTCCTCTGGAGGTCAGAAGACCAACCCAAACTGTCCTTCCATTCTAATACTAAATCTCAGGTTACTGTGGGGAAAAAAATGCAGGTTAATAGCAGAGGTCACTGTGACTAACTGCTGACAAGTTCAAAGGTCTCCTTCTTGCTTCCCAGGCTGAGAGATGAAAATAGTGACATACATGAAGGACAAGACAATGTCAAAGCCTGGACTTTAGCTTCCTGTGCTCCCCAGTGGGCTGCAAGGTCTGGCAGACCCACTCAAGCAAGTAAGAGACTCTCCCGGCAAGGCCTATATTCTCACTGCCCTTAGCTCTCAATATCATTGCCTCTCCATTGCAGAAGTTCATACTAAGGCCTCTGGGACAGTCCATAGTACTTACAATCATTTTGACTGGCAACTAATAGCAGCTCTTTTACCAAGAGGATAAGACCTTGTCCAAACCCTCTGTATGACATCAAAGGGCCCTTGGAGGAGTCCACTGAAACCCCAGTGGCTCAGCCGTGGACAGCAGAGGTGCAGGACCATTGGCTGGGAAGGGCACTGAGTCATGGGGAATAATCTACAGGGCTAGGAAATAAGGGAGGGAGAGGGTTCTTGACCACTGGACTGAGAAGAGGACTTGAAATGGTCTCAGCCAGGCCTCAGTAGCTTCCCTACTCCTTGGGAAGCTTCCAGGTACAAGACAACAGAAGGATGGAGAAGGTGGCCAAATGTTAACATTGATGTCAGAGCCAGAAACAACATAGAAAGATATCACTGAACACACAAAGGCACTTAATAAATGCTCACTTAATGAAGATGAGACACTGGGTGTCAGAGGTAGCCACCTTGGTGAAGCAAAAAAAGGGCACTAAGGACTTCAGGGAAAAAAATCAAGTTAGAGAATTGGAGACCAGGTTGTGGACCCCAGACTGCCCCCCACCCGGCCACACCTGTCAGGCCAGGAGAGAGACAAGCAAAGAAGGAGGGGGGAGGGAGATGCAAACAGACGGGCATTTGTGCAAGTGAACAATAGCTGTGCCAGGACTCCCTACCCTCCTGGCACAGGGCAGTCTGACTGAGTTGGGAGGGGGGCAGCTGCTGTCTGCAACCCCACCCCCACCCTCTCCCAAGGAGATACAAACAAACCCAGAAGGGTCCAGCCAGCAACTCTCAGCCATTTCTCTACCAGCTCCAGAAACCCTGACTAACCACTCACTCAGCTCCTGAAAGATACTTCAAACCATAGGCTCAAGAAAGGAATGCAACATTTCCTCCCGTAAGGAAGGCATAAGCTACCTGCCCCCACACCCCGACTTTGATGATTAGTTTCAAACAATAACCCACAGCACCTGGGACAACAGGCATACACACCTCAACACCTAGGTAACATGTACACATGGGAATCACACATTCAGATCTCTCCCAGCCCCCCATTCAAGGTCAGGATTCCTCAATCAATGGGACTGAGATCAGACCCCCTCTTTAACTCCTTTGGTGGCCTCCAGGCACTGTACAACCCTCCGTGGTCCCTCAGGGACTTCCCTAAGCCTTCAGCTCCCTTCCCCCATCCATGCTTCTCCCTTCCCCCTCAGTTGTTTCCCTAACCTCCATGACCCCTAGGATCTCCTTCTTCTATGCCCACAAAAGCCTTAGCCTCCAGGGGGACCCCCAATTCCTAAGTCTCCTCCCAAGCTGACAGCCCTTTCAGCTCCTTCCAGGCCTCCTCTCAGCTACAATACTGGCCCTACACACAAAGCCAGCCACCTCTCCAGTACTTAGAACAAAGACAGTCTCTCCTCTTCTCGCTCCCCACTCCACCTACCCACCACACACTCCGATGCTAGGGTCCTAGAGATTCTGACATTCCCTCCCTCCCCTCCAGTCTACAGAGCCATCCCTGGATCTCTGGTCCTTGCTTGGCAGAAAAGGCCCCTTTGTTCTGATGGACATTAAGGTTAGGGATTGGGAAAGGAGGGAGGGAAGAGCAAGGCACTAAAAGAGAGAAAGGGGACCTGTGAGCTTTGGGGCTTGAGGAGGTAGGGAGTAGAGCAGACAGAATGGAGGGGGTGGAGAACTGAAGACAGCCTGGAAGAACAGAAATGGAGTGAAAAGAAAAAGGAAGCATGAAAGATCTATGATGGTGGCAAGGAGAAAGGGCCAGGTTATACTTAAATTCCTCCTTCTATGAGGAGGTTCTCAGAGTAGGGCAAGGGCTGGGGAGACGTTGGTGCATCCGGACTTGGCCCCGACCCGTCCCCCCACCTAGGTAACTGAGGAGACCATCTTCCTCAAATAATCTCATTTCCAGCAAGCCCCCTCTACTTCCCACCACAGCATAAAAAGAAAGGAGACAGCTGGTGTGCTTCGGGGAGGGGGGAAGAGGGGATCCAGGGTTTGTTGGCTAAGAACCAACTCCCCTCTTCGGTAACCACAGCTTTCCGGAGGGGGCCCTCCCCTTCCGACCAGCCCAAACTGACAAACACCCTCCTCCAGTGGCCTTCTTGCCCTCTCAGATCCACCCACTCAGCCCCCCAGCTGGTTTCCCCAATCCCCCCTCTCTGCCAGCCCCAGAGTAGAAAAGAGCCAGGCTTCTGGATTCCCAGTTCCCCCACTATGACAAAAAAAAAAAAAAAGAAAAAAAAAAACACAGGGCAAGATAACTAACTAGCCTTCCAGCTTCCCCATTAATGGAGAAAAGACTCCAGTATTTATCCTCTGAGACCCTCTTCCTACAGCCCCTCACCAGTTCTGATGCCCTAACCCCCCTCCAAACTGGCTCCCCCACGGCTTTCCTTTTTAGGGTGGAACCTAATTTCCGTGGTTTCAAAAACCTCTCCCGCCCCCCTTGGCTCTACTCCAGGGTCTCAGCTCAAATGGTTGAAAAAATAAACAGACTTTGGGAGCTGGGGCTGGCCTGGCACAGGGCTGTGAAGAGTGTCTGCCACCCCACTGTTCTACCACACTTCAGTCATCTCACCCCGGCCCTCTGTTTGTTTTAGGCGCTACTCAAATCCCTGGTTGCTTTCCGGATAGCAGAATCTAATTTGAAACCCCAAAGGAAAGTCTTAAAAGCCTTCTTCCCTGCCCCACCCCCATCTAGGGATGGACCCCTTCTATCACATATCAAGACAGGTAGTCAGGCAAGGACTCAGGAGGCGGTAGAGGGAAGGGCTTTTCATTCCCTGGAGGGCTCCAAAGGGGTACTGCTGCCTTGCTGGAAAATGGTGATCAGTTACACTGGCCAGGCCATGGAGCACAGGGCAGGACACTAGGCTCAGAAGGAAGCCAGATTGAGATTTAAGTAGCTCTGGGCTGAGGACTGGCCTTTCTGAGAACCAGTACAGGGTAGTGTGGGTGCCTTGAGGAGCTGAGAGGTACTGTCTGCATGCACCGCCTTCCTCCCAGCTCACTTATTCACCTACAAATCCGTTTCATCATTTCCTGGGGGCTAGGGTGTGGAGAAGTCAAGGAATTTGGGAGTGGGCTTGGTACAAAGGCAGGGATAAAGGAAACTTGGAGAGGAGTGACCAGGTCACAGGGTGGTATGGGTGGATAATTATACACCTAAACTGGAGATGACAGGTCAAAGGCTGAACCCTGTAAGAGAGAATAAACGCTGAGGGAGGTGAGAGTGGGTCAGCCTAGGGGGTTTGGTTGTGGCAGGCTGGGAGAACAAGAAGCCAGGAAGCCAGTGGAGCAGATGGGGATGGGAGGCCACCCTGTGTTCCAGGCACCGGGGTGCTCAGGATGGAGGAGAGCATCCTAGTTACACAAAGACTTCCACTCCCTTCACCTGAGGGTAATGGCCTGGGGGGAAGCAAGCAGACGCATGCTGTCCTGACCCCAGCCACCCGCCCACCTCGAGGGGAGAACTGAATCACAGCTGGAAAGTCCATTTGCGAGGAGAGGAGGGGCTGACTTTTGTCTCGGAGGGGTGGTGGTGGGAGGAAGCTGGGAAACCACCCCCTCCCGCCCCTTCGCCGAATGGCGGGGACAAAGGGGGAACGACCAAACCAGAGACTAGGGCTGGGGGTGGGGGGTGCCACAGAGAGCTACCTGGGGTCCCCGGGCGCAGAGAGGGTGCGAGAGAGCTTCTACCGTCCCGACCCCCGATACACACGCTTCTCTTTTCCCGCTTGGTCCCTTACCGGAGCAACTTTTTTCCGAGCGGCCCAAAACACGATTCCGCCAGATCCCAGGCGACCAAACCTGGTTCGCTCTCTCCCGGGTCCGGGCAAAGAATCTGCTCGCAGGAGCTGGAGGCAGCACGGGTCTTGTCTCCTGCTCCCCCAACCCCCTCCCCACTCACTCACAGTCCCCACCCACCCTGTCCCGCTGCTTTCCGTTCCACCGCTCCGCCCGATTTTGGCGCCCAGAAAGCAGGCGTGGAGACAGGGTGCACGGCGGGTGCCGGGGGTCGGAGGGCACCTTGAGGACAGCGGCGGGGGAGGAAGGGGGTGAAGAGATTGTATCGCCAGCCCACCTTGCTCGCCAGCTCTTTGCTCCGGTCGATCCGCGCCCGCGTGAGGGATTCGATCCGAGACATAATCCTATGCCGCGATCAGGGAGGACGCCTCACGGACCCAGGCGTCCAGCTATTGTGGGGGGAGGGGTCCAGCCCACACGCTTCGGTCTCGGGGACAGGAAGTCTGACTCCCCTAGCCCGGCACCCAGAGCCAGTTCCTCAAACCCTAGTCTCCTCCCCCCTGCTCAGGAAGGGGGGGAGGCGGAGCAGAGGGAGGGCGGGGTACCAACACACGGGATGGGACGCCCGGGTTTGAGTTGGGGCAGCATGGAGGACAGAGGTCCCTGGACAGGTTTGAGGGGCCCCTCTGCCAGTTTCCCCTCCAGCGCTTGGGGGCGCCCTTTAGACCCAATGCCTATGAGCTCTACATTTCTTAAAACCCACGAGTGCCAGCCCCGCAGTCCTCGCCAGACCCCAGTTAGTCCCTTTCCCTTCCCCCTTCCCTGACGCATAACTTCAGTCTTTAAAGACTTGCAGGCGGGAGGATTCCATCCGCTCCAGGGAACCAGGGACCAGTTCCTTCCTGGCCTTCAGGGCCCATCAAAGCAGACCAGAACAGACTCCTTTCACGATAGGAGCCCAGGGGTAGCAAAAGGGAGGGGAAATAAAAGGGGAACTAGAAATTGGGTTTTCAGTAGACTTAAGTGGAGGATTTACTCCCAGAAGTAGAATTGAGAGTATTCGCCCACTAAACCTCCACCCCTCTGGGCCCTTCCTGACCACACTGCCCATCCTCCTCCTAGCCCCGCCTTTACCAGCTACTTTGAGCGGTGAAGGTGGGAATTCACCACCCTTCCTGAGGAAACTCATGAAGTACTTCCATATGTTGCAAGTTAAGTTGGAATCAGAAGACTAGAGCTTGCCCTAGTCAGGGAGCAGGTAGGGCATGGTCAAAGTCGCTCCCTGAGAAGAAAGGTGAAGTTGAACTTTTATCTTTCTGGACTCTTTGTCCCAACCTGATCTAGAAAAATCAGTCTAGTCTCACTGTAATCACTCACATCGCAATTCATTTTCACCTCTCGGGGTCTCCCATTTCTCTGTAGATGCCAAAGCACAGAGAGCCTTAGGTCAGAGCATTTAAGTTTGCGGGATCCTGCCTTATTCAGGTCTCAAAAATTCAGGAGAAGGAGGGAGAGAGAGGAGGCCCAACCCAAGTCCAGAAGCTCCAGGCTGCAGGTTTCAAGCCCAACTCAGCACTCTTGTAGGTGCCAATTTTAGTCTCTGTCTCTATTTTGGGCTCCACTGCCTCACCACTGGCTGAGCTGGTTGGGCTCCTCACCCCAGCACCACCCCCATGCTGCTCCTTCTGCCCCCCTCCCCACACACATACTGCCTAGCAACTCCTTCTTCACCTCCTGCACCCATTCTCCTGTTTAGGAAACTTATATAGCAAAGGCTAGAAAAAAGGAGTAGAAACAAATCATGCCCAGTCCAGGCTGAATGACAATTAGAAGCAGAAAGAACTTCCCCAGTCCAAGACTGGTTCCCCAGGCTTGTACCTCCGGAAAGACCTATAGGAAGACTCCAGAAAATCACCCAAACCAGCAGTCCTGAGGCTCCTGGCCCTCGAACTCCAGACTTACCTCCCCTCAGTGGTCAGCCAAGGCTGAGGAATGTACTAAATTTTAAAACAGCCAGCCAGAGGCCAGAATCCTGGCCTCATAGTCCCACCCACTGGGGGCCAAGAGACCTTGGTTGGGCTGGGACCTCAGCTTTTCTCCCAGGCCCTTGGGTGGAGGGTGCTATAAGCTGAGGATAACATCTTAAAGGGCCAAACTCTGCCCCAGTACTAATAAACCTAGGACTTGAACCCTAAGCTCTGTGAGGAATCTCTCAGTATATAAACTCAACACAGAAGTCTCTATGAAAGAGAGGGTCTGACTCTCTAACCTTCTTCCAGCCTTGCTTTTTTTTTCATGGGCCTGGCATTTGAACTCAGGGCTTTGTGCTTGCAAAGCAGGCTCTCTAGCACTTGAGCCACTCCTCAGTTCATTTTGGTCTGGTTATTTTGGGGATGGGGTCTTGCAAACTATTTCTCCAGGCTGGCTTGGAACTGCAATCCTCTTGATCTCAGCCTCCCAAGTAGCTAGGATTATAGGTGTGAGCCAAAAGTAGGACTGGCCCACCCCTGCTTTCCATCCCACCTGCTGTTTGTTATCTTGCCCCTCACTCACTCTATACCCTCTAAATAAAAGGGAGTGTGGGGGAGAAACTGTTCTTCTTTTTTTTCAGGAGTGACAGTTCCCCTACCGCAAATTATGCAGTTGAGTTTCCCAGCACATCCCGAGTGCAATGGATAAGGCTCGCCCTGGGAAATTATCTTCATGATCATAGTAAGTATCTGTTCTACCTTTAAAAAACCCATATTTACTGAGCTAAGCTTTCCACTTGACTCAGTTTCCATTTTCTTCTCTTTTTTATTTTGCAGTACTGGGGTTTGAACCCAGGGCCTATACCTTGAACCACTCTGCCAGCCCTTTTTTGTGATGAACTTTTTTCAACATAGGGTCTTGCAAACTATTTGCCCAGGCTGGCTTCAAACTGCGTTCCTCCTGATCTCTGCCTCCTGAGTCTCTAGGATTACAGGGGTGAACCATTGGCACTGAACTCAGTTTCCATTTTTGTATCTTCTGAAACAATTAACACTTTTCCTTCTCCTGGGTGTCCCCTCTTTTCCCAAACCTATTCTCTATAGCTCTACTCCTATATCCAGTGATATATTTTCAGAAATTATGTTTTTAGATATACAAGAACAAAATTTTTTGCCAGAATCTAAAAGTAGCCACCTTCATTACCCCCAGGTAACCTAACAAAATATATCCCTACTATTTCAGGGCTAGAGAGGAAGCCTCAAGGAAGGACCTAGCTGCTAGAAGCTTGACCAGTGAGTGAACAGAGGGCCCAAGCCCCACACTTTCCAGGAGAAGTCTGCCTACCTTCTAATTACTCTGGACCTTGAACTTTCTGGGAGGGGGTTACTAAGACACACTGACCCCAATGACCACCCAACAAAGGCTGGTGGAAGAAGGCTGGTGTGCTGGGCTTACTGAGAGGCCACATAATGGAAGTGAAAACTTCACCTCATACTAGCTATGAGATCCTGGGCAAGTAACCTAACCTCTAGGTTATACTGTCTGTGAAATAGCAATTAAAAGAACTTGTCTTTGCCAAAGTTGTTGAAAGAATTAAATGAGATGACCTCTGAGAAAGCATTTGGCCAGCCATACAAGGAATGTGCCACCTCCTTCTCTCACTGGCTGACTGAGCAGCTCTCCAGCCCTACCCTGACGTTTACCTGCTTATGGTCCCTGTCCTGAATTGGGCACAGGGAAGGAAAAGATTATGTGAAGTAGGTACATACATTCTTGAGGGTGGAAAGAAGGTCAACAAGGGACTGGAGAGAGGGAAACAGAGGAAGACAGGCCCAGAGATCCTGTTGAGGAAAAGGGAGTGCATCCCCACTGCAGGAAAAGAGGGTGATTCCCTATAGATTCTCCTACCCTGAACTAACAGAGCCTGTGGGCAGGGAGGTACTCAGACCCCAAGGGCTCCATGTTTGCTTTGTTCTCTAGCATTCCCTGCCTGCCCCCTGAGAGAAGAATCCTCTCTGTCCCACCTGCCCTCCCCTATATGCAGTGGCTTTAAGATTCTCCACTTGCTTTTTTGAGACATTCTGAGACATGCCATCTCATACCTCCATCAGCCTTAACTCCCCACCCATGACTTATGGGGAGAAGGTGTTAAACAATGGACCTGCTTACATCTCTATTTCCCCACTGACCCACAGGAAGGGAATCCTGGCTCAGAGGCTGGCCCAAAGGAGAGCCCTAGTTTTGCAGGTGGAAAGTGCTGGTCTTCTCTAGGGTTTCTGTCTGTGCTCAAAGGCCACCCCAGGTTGGAAAGCACATGCATAATTGGAGAGGTCATGAGAGGAAAGAGGGGGTGGCTAATTCTGCCAGTCAGGCTGCAGTCACACCAGAGTGAAGGAGTGGCAAGGAGGAGAGCAGTGCACCTTCACTTCCTGGGATCAGGATGCACATGGCCACACATGTAACGTAAGCATGTGGTTTATAATCATACACTTTCCTAGCTTCCACTCTGCTTATGGTCTTATTTCAACAAATTCAGTTGCCGTATCCACCCATAAAATTATGAGTGTAAAAGCACTTTGCAAACTCTAATACTCTATGAAGAAGTAAAAAGTATTGCTGTAATCATTATCATTACTATGTCCAATGGGCAAGATTTCTGCTGCCTACCTCTTAGCTATGTGAGGCCTAAAGTGAGGGGAAAGCTAGGCTATTCCTCAGCTTCTGAGCCTTGAGGCCTATTTTCTCTTCTAGCTAGTCACAGCTGGCTGCTAGCTGTATGGCTGGAGGCATTTGAAAAAGCAGAGAAAAGGTTATGTACTGGGACACAGACATGGAGTTTCAGAGAGATGGCATGTACCCCCTTAAAATTTGAGCCATTGCCCTGAGTCTCTATATAGGGAGAGTTGGGGAGGGTTGGCATGGTGATATGGGGAGGAAGGAAAGTGGGGGAGGGCAGCAGGTCCTGGCCTCCTACTTCTAGGGCTGGCTCCTACCTTGGGCTGGGTCCTACCTTGGCCTTGCCGGTCATGCCCAACAGGAAGCTGAAGGTCCGTCGCAGGGAGGAGCCTGCCCAGGTACCTGAGTCCCCTTCCAGCTGGCTATAGCTATAGAAAAAAAAGAAAGAGGTGAGGAGTTGGAGACAGAGCTGGAAAAGAAGAAAAAGACATTCCCAGAGAGATGGAGGGTGACAGTGCCATGACCAGCAGAGAATGGAGATAGAAGGAAAGGTTCTGAGAGAAAAGGTGAGGAAAGGAGAGGGAGAAAAACAACCCCCACCTCCTAGAGCTTCCCGGATGTGGACAGTTCAGCTTTTCATTCCCCTCTATTTACGAGGAAACTCCTCTGGGCTCCTCCCAGACACATGCAGACTCCCCCCTTCCTACCTAATCCAGGCTCCGGATGGGAGGGCCCACTCTCCCTCCTGCTGCTCTCCAGCGGAAGTGGATGGGGTGAGGGCCCTCCAGGGGGGCATTTTCCCCTCTCAGAACAAGAGTCCTATGTAGACCCTTTGCTGTTTGGAAAGAACCTCTGGGCCTAAAGCCAATAAGGACTGAATTTCCTGGGATTTCATCAGCCCCATCCCATGAGCTAATCCCAAATCCAGAGCCAGGAGGGATGTGTCAGCTAGAGAATTTCAGGACCACAAATCAGAGCCTGATATCTTAAAGGGCCCGTTACTTGCTCCCACAGCCATACTGAGTTAGAGTCACCCCACTCTAATCAGCCTTCTGCCATAGGAGCCAAATAAACAGGTGCTGATTTTGCATGCTTATTTACATAGTTACTGAACTCTCTCAGCCTCCATCTCCATTCCTGAGCTATGCTTCAGGCCCTGCCCTCTGCTGGGAGCTCTGTAGCCCTTGTCTAGCTCTCCTTTGGGTTACTCCCCATTATCTGAGTCATCCAAAGCCCATTCGTGGTCCTTGGTCACCATCTCTCTCCAAGATCTGTCCACTTTCCTTTTTGTCAGTGACAACAACAAATAATCTCCTTCTCTTTTATTCAGCTGACGCCCTAGGTCTAGCTATTCCTTTTCCTAATCTGTCCGCCATCCCATGGGGCTACAGTGTACCAGAGAATAGAGGATAAATTCTATGCATCTCGGGGAGAAGGATATCTAATTTTTCATAAGAAATGTTCAGAAGAACAGTATTTTAGGATGCGGGGAGACCCTTGAAGCTACAAAATCCATGACCAGACCCATTGCTCCTCCTGGCTCTAGGCCTTTCAAGTCCCCCAAACTCACCGATTGCTGAGGTCAGTGGCAGAGGACTGGCATAAATTCCCTGCCAACACAAAAAGAGAAGAGAAGTGTCTAGTTAAAGCCAGACAAAGGCGCCCAAGGGCTGCCTCCCCCACCCCTTCCACCTGGATCAGGTTCCCAGGCTGCAGGTGCATGTGACGCCATTCCTGAGGGCGGGCACTGGGGAGCAGGGACTGAGGGCGGGGACTGTGTAGAGCAGAGCTGAAGAATTTAGGAACCAGGATTACATGAAGATGGGGATGGGGGGACTGATATTTCAGTCCTATTTCTGGTGAGTGGAGAGGGCTGAGGTTTTACACTGAGCTT